AAAAAAAAAAAAAAAAAAAAAGAATTGCCAAGGACTATATAGCAGAAGTTGCAGAGTGAGTGGCCCTGAAACTTATTTTTATGACCTGTGACACTTTGGGATTCCCATCCTACCCCACTTTTAATGTATCTTAATTTAGTACATATCTTACAATTGACACTCTGTAATGCTTGCTTTATAATGGGGCAGAGAAGAAAAATTGTGACAGTGTTATCATTAACTAGGTAATATGTAAATTTAGTCATCCACTTTTAGTCATCCACCTTTGGCATCTTCCAAAAGGTTAACACTGTGTTCAAGCATTGAAACAAAAAGTTACTGTATATACAGATAAGTTGTCATACATCAGGAATGCAATTAGTTGAAATGGGCAACTCTATTTCTAAATTTGACATAAATGTTACAAATTTAGAAGTTGGCTTGACTCACTGAAGTGTCAGAGGATACTTAACATTTAACTGTTTCTGGTTATCAAAAGAAGCTGTGAAGATTCCAGGAATATGCAATTCAATTTTCTTTAAAAAAAGAAAATTTATGAACAAAAAAGAAACACTATAAAGTTTTTATATTATTTGAAATGTCTCAAAATTTTACTGTTGATTCTTAAAGGTGCTAAAAAATATCAGGATATGACCATAGGTTATGAAAAGCAACAAGCCATCATGCTATACGTAGCAAAATGGTCAGAGGGTTATATAAGACTAGGCAATAGAAGTGAGAAGACTTAAACTTAACAGTTGATTATGGCTCTGAAGAAGAAAGTGTTACAATTATGGTAATAGTCAACATTTACTGAATGATTAGCATGTCGCACTGTGTTAAGTACCTTTAGAGGTCTTGTCTATTTCTACCTCAGGACAACTCTATCAGATCAGTGGTGTGATCTTCATTTTACAGTGAGAAAGCTAGGAAGTACATCCAGGGAGTTTGCCTTTAGACTCTCACTCAGAGCCACTGTGCTGTTATACCTGTGCATTTTTATGGATATGTCTGTACTTTTTAAGTTGGGTTAAAAAAGTATACATTTAAATATAAAGAGCCCATGGTGCAGGTGTTGCAAATTGGAGTGAGCTTGATTTTCAGAGCCCTATCATCTTAGAACTGGCGAGGGCTACTTAGAGCAGGGTGTCAGTGAGGAATGTCTTTTGTAGTTGTTAGAACGGTTCCTCCACAGGAGACGCCCTGTCTCTCATACCTGTCTAAATCCTCTGGTCTTTTGATGCCCACCACAAATGCCAGCTCCTTCAGGAAATAGTCTCTGGTTATATAAAAAGATATACATGTTAGATATTTTCAAATTATTAAACTAATAACCAAAAGACGCATTTTATCATTAAAGTTACCCTCGCTCCTTTCTTGGCCTCAGTTTCTTTAAATTGAAAGGAAGAGGATATTTAGCCTCTCTTCCTTTTATAATTTCTACTCCTAACCCCTTCAGATTTCTGCAAAGCTGCCTTAAAAAGCAACGCTCCTTGCTCAGACCTGCAGGAGGCGGCTCCTCCGCGTTGGCAGCTCAGCAGGGCGGGGCTGGAAAAGCAGGAGAGAGGCGGGGGCTCAGGGGGAAGCGTCGCGCGCAGCCACGTGACTTCCTTCCAAGGAGCCACTGCTGCGGGCCTCCCAGCAACCGGTGCGTCCCGCCTAACAACGGCTGCGCATCCCGGTTGGTCCTCGGGAACGCATGTGGCAAGAAGGCACCCACGGTCGAGCTGCTCATTGGCTTGAGCTACGGTCGCTCAGGCGCGTTGCCTGAGCGCCCGCAGGCGGTGCTGCCGGAAGCCCCTCCCATTGGCCACCGGGTTCGTGGCTGGCTGGCGGAGGCTGTCACTCTGGGGCCGTTTCCCTGAGGCCGGCTCTCTGCTGGGGGTGGAAGAGGGGCCGAACTGCGGCCTGACTAGCCGTTGCTGCCGCCGCGGTCTTCGCGGCTGCTATGACCAGCGGGCGAGGCGTCCTCCGCAGCTGCGCGCAGCGCTAGTCGCGGTTGTGAGTTCGCCGTAGCCGTCTGGGTACCCAGCGCGGCCGCTCCCGCGGCTCCCTCGGCTCTTCCAGCACCGCCGGCGAGGCGAGGCAGAGGCAGGATGAAGATGACGGTGGATTTCGAGGAGTGTCTGAAGGACTCGCCCCGCTTCAGGTAACCCGCGCGACCGTCCGGAGCCGGGTTGGCGTCATGCCGCTCGCCTTCCCCGGCGGTGGGGGCGTAAAAGCCAGCGAGAGGAAAGCGCGGAGGGCCCCACAGTCCGCGCCTTCCGACGGGGCGAGAGGCCGTTGCCGCCACTCCCCAATCGGCGAGGGCACTGCAGCCCCCACTGACCCTTCCTGAGCGGCGAGGCTGGGCCGCGGGGAGGACGTTGCCTCTTCATCCCCTTTCCGCGCCCTCTCCTCGAGGCGAAGCGCCCTAAAGGCCGCGCGCCCCCTCCCTCTCCTCCTCGAGGAATTGGGGTGCAGCCGCGTCCCAAAGACTCGTGCCCTTTTCGGGCGTGCGCTTTCGTCCCCTTCCTCTTGCACTCGTCCTTTCCCCTTCCTTCCGCTCCTTCGTTTCTACCCCCACCGCACCCCCTCTTTCAGGGACCTTGCAGCGGCGGCACCCTTTTGCAGTTCACTTAGTTCCTCTTTTCCGCACCTCTTACCGGGTGGAGGAAGTGGTGGGGGGGCGAGCTGGGACATTGACTCCTGCTGCTTGGTATCCCCCGCCAGAGGGGCTCTCAGGAAGGCGCTGGCGGGTGATCTGTTCGGGAGGCGGGGGTGGAAGTCCTTTGACTAGAACCACATTTTGTCGAATCCGAGGCCATCTGCTTTGCTTTTCGCTTAAGCGTTTTGAAGGGGCACCGCTGTCGAGAGGTATTGGGTTGAGGGTCGAGGAGTCGGAGAAACAGTGCATTTCTGTTTTGAGAACGGAAGTAGGAAGGCCCTGGAGATTGCATTTACGTTCCTTTTCCAGCAGCGTCCGCCGAGGGAGGGCCCGGGATCACAGTCGGATGCTCCCAGCGGATCTGTCACATAAACGGACGTGGTGGCGCTCCGATTCTCCTGGGCTGCCCTCCCTCCCGTGTGAGAGGAGGCAGTCCTGAGGGTGTCCCGAGAATATGCTCTTTCCGTTTCAGGCATCGTAGGAAACTCTTGAATTGTTTTGGAGAATGGAGTTTTGTTAGGTGTATTTATAGTGCTGTCCTTAGGCCTTAAAAAATAAGGCCTTAAAACTTCCGTTAGATAGTGGCATTTCTTGAAAGCTTCCCCAGAGCATTGGGGGGGAAGGGGTGTGTGCCCACTTATCACCGGGGCAAGCCTCGGTTGTAAATTCTTGTATCCTGCGCCTGGGAACTAACTGTTCTCATCCTTATCAATGTTAATTCGATTTCCCATTCTCTTTTCAGTGAAAAGCAAAGTATTGTAAAACTAAGGAACTCCTACTTCTAAGAAAATTTACGAACATTTTTTGGTTTTGAGCTTTGATTATTGTTTTGTTGCTAATTTTATTAGGAGCTTAGGGCTATTGCTTGTAAAAAGCTGCACCTGGTTTGATTGCTGTTGTTGGTATTAGTTTTTGAAACTTCTATGTTCTGCCTGAATTGAAGGAGTCAGAGGAGTCAGAGGAGCTAGATGGATTATCTAGCACAGCTTTGTAGGTTAAATACCAGGACTGTGTGGCAAATGATTTTTAAAGCGTACCTTAGAAAGTTCTGTTGCTTTTTGTGAAAATTTTATTAATATGACTCAGCTATTGTTTTTAATGAGCTAATCACAGAATTTTCTCCTAGAGAGTGTGGCTTTGTGTTCAGTTTGTTTCACATTTAAGTTTGATTTATTTTTTATTTTTTTCATTGGGGAATTGGGGAAGGCAGTGTTGTGGAATTGAGGAAGGGGAACTTTGTGTTTTTCCAGGAGCCATCAGCTCTAAGTCAAGTTGTTGCCCTTCAATCTTAGTTGTGGAGGGTGCAAGCTCAGCACCAAGTCCAGTTGCTGCTTTCAGTCTAGTGTGTGTGTGTGGGGGGGGGGGGGGGGGGGAGGGGTGCGCAGCCCATCATCCCATGCGGGAGTCGAACCAGCAACCTTGTTGTTAAGATCGTGTACTCTCACCAGCTGAGCCATCAGGCCCATGTGGGAATCGAACCCGTGACCCTGTTGCTCAGAGCTTGCGCTCTAACTGACTTCGCCACCCGGCTGGCTCAAGTTTGATTTTTAAAAAAATCAAGTGGAGAGAAGTGTCTTGGAAAGTTTCTAGCCACTGGTGTTGGTCATAAACCATGTGATATCTTTGTTTTTGAAATAAAGGAATCATTGAATATAAATATAAGGCGGAAAGATACTGGGGCCAGCCAGGTGGCTCAGTTGGTTAAGAGCATACGCAAGAGTGTGAGCTCTGAGCAACAGGGTCACGGGTTTGATTCGCTGGTTCGATTCCCGGCCCCAGCTGAGCTACCAACAGGTGGCAGGATGGCTCGGCTAAAAAAAAAAATGGGGGAGGGGAGATACTGATTAAGTTGTATGGAATATTATAGTGAACTTTTGTTAAACTTGAACATAACATCTATTCTAAATTAAGATATTAGAGATTTTCAAGAGTTGTTTCTGATATCCTAATTATTGTTGGCTGCAAATTGGGAAGAGAAACAGATTCAAAGAACGCCAATATCTTGTATACATTTTTGGGACTAGATTAGATTTGCAAATGGAGGGAAGAATGCCAAGAAATAAATCTCATCATTTACATTCCTAATTTTTACAGTTTTTCTATAACTCCCATTACTATGTAGTTTTCTATAGCATTTGGAAAGAATATTTCAGGTCTTTTTATTCATGTGCTTTATGTGTGAGAAACTTGACTTTTAAGAGTGTTGTGCCTGTTTATGATTGATATATTGAAACTTTCATATCAAAACAGGAGGTTCCTGAGGACAGGGCTTGTTTTTTTGATAGCAAGGCAGCTGCTCTATGTATTCGTTGTAGTGCCCTGATCTATTGTGCTGTTTTTACGTTAATTTCTATTTTTATTTTAATTCACAAATGAATCTTGTGGAGGTTAAGTCTTGCGTGTGGACATAACTGCCTTGGATGTTGTATAATAGAATTAATGCAGGTCTTGTTGAAGAAAAATTTCACCAGTGTTCCAGCTTTAAAAATTAAATTTTCTGTTAAATTGATGAGGGTTTGAAACAAGAGGAACATTGGTTGAAATAGGGAGAGAAGGATCTTGCAGTTGCAACATTGTCTTTAGTAATTTGAATAAAGTCAGTGGTTACTTTTACATTCTGATGAATTTTTTTTTTTATTGATTGGAAGGCACATTTCATTGTATAATTTTGGGTTGCCTTTTTTGTTTTTTAAAATCCGTTCTAAAGGTCAAAATCTTATCTAAAAATTTACAAGAAAGTAAATGTCTAAGTGTACTTTTTTAAAGTGGGAAGTTTCCATTTTGACAAACAGCTATTGAAGACATTTGAACTTGTTTGGGCTACAAGTTGTACGTATAATTACTTTTTAAAATTTTAATAAAAATTGTGCTTTTCCTTTATGTAAACATAGTTCATTTAGGAAGTGAATATTTTCCTTGAAACAAAAAGTTGACTTAGTGCTTTCTGTATTGTGAAAGATTTTTGCTCTAAGCAATGCTCAAAAAAAAAAAAATTGGCATTAGCAAGCCTTCAAACACTTCAGTCTTTATTTGATACATTTACTTTTTTATCCTTAACAGTGTTCTGTTGTGCACCATTCTGAAGGATTTTTGTTTGTAGATTCTTTTTCAGATACGATCCTCATTGAATAACAGGATAAAAATCTTAAAAAGATGTTTGGGGCGAAAGTTTTTAATGGGTGAAATACATCGGAATAAAGTGTAAACAATATATTGGTTATGTTGTTCTGTTAAGCTGGTGCCAATCCTGGCTGCTTTGCCATTTTACCTTCCATCTTTAGAACAGATATACTTGTAACAACCGGCACTTTATACAGGGAAAACATAGTGGGCAAGGATGAGGGAAAATGTGTTTTCATTTCAGAGGAAGGAGAGTGGAATTATAAAGTAGTTTATCTTGAACTAAAATACAGGAATCCTGCTATTCCTCAGTGCAGTTTCTAATTTTTCATTTAATATATCAACTTAAGTTGAAGTAAGGAAGAACAAACTTTTATAATGTGCCAGACCTCATATTAGATGCTTTAATAGTTACTCTCTCATTTAATGTTAAAATATACAGTATGGTGAGGTGGGAATTATTATCTTTATTTTAAAGATGTTTAAGAAAACCTCAAATTGGGGGTGACCTGTTAGCTCAGTTGGTTAGAACGTGGTGCTGATAACACCAAGGTTGCCGGTCCCATCCCTACATGGGCCACTGTGAGCTGCACCTTCCTTACCAGGAGTCAACTATGCCATTGTAGCATGAAAGCAGTGTGTAACCAATGACCATGGTTGTTCCCCAATAAAGTTTAAAAAAAAAAATCTCAAAAGTGGATATTTTAAGAAATTAAATTGATCTTGTTAATGGTGGACTTTTCAAATGATAGATCTGAAAGTGAATTCACTCTTTTACTCTCAAGCCACAGACTTTAATTGCATTAATTAAACTTGCATTAAATTTGTGTATGGTATCTTATCATACAGCTATTTAAAAACTGGCTTTTGTGTATTACCTAGAAAGGTCTACCCTATATTATTATAGGACATTTTTGTATCATTTAATAGTAATTCTGAGTTTCATGTAGTGCAGCTGAATTTTAGTTTTGAGTGTATGACATACTATAATTTTATTTTCTTCCTAGTGAAAGTCATTTATCCTAATATCTTTTATTGAATAATCCATCCTTTCCTCATCGATTTAAAATTACACACATATACACCTATACATACACACATGCATACATGGGTCTTTTCCTGGATTCTATTCTTTTCCACTAATGTATTTGTCTACTGCAAATGCCACTGATATTTTAGTTAGAATACATTACAGTCTGTTGTGTATATGATATCTGATAGGACAAGTTTTGTCTTCTTATTTCAAAAATTTAATGCCTATTCTTGAATATTTTGTCTTTTTGTAATAGTTTCTTCAATTTCAGAAGAGAGCATGCCTTTTATGTATTTTGGTCTTATTATTTTAAAGTTTTTGTTATGTAAAATTTCAATGATGATCCAAT